TGCCACTGCACCATTCCTTAATTTTTTTAAACCTTTAACCCCAATCTTCAAAAGATGGGGCTTAATGTTATCCTTTATTATCTTCTTAGTCTGTTCTGCATCTTCGGCAGCCTCAATAGGTTGCACAATAACAACTTCTCGTGGTTCAACCATCTTCTTATTTACCAATGGAACACTTGCCACTACCTGAGCAAAAGATCTTCCATCTTTTCTTACTTCTTTACTGTTAATTTCATCCAGTTTATCCTTTATACTGGATACCATCTTGTAGATATCATCTCTCCCAGACAATAAATCTATTATCCTTGAAACCTTTCCCATAATCTGCGAGATGTGATCCTTTGAACCAATCTTTGATCCGGAATTAGCTTTCAAATATTGCAGCAGTTCAGCTTCAAACTGCTTAGCAGTGATGACTGTTGCATCCTGCCCCTCCTCCCTCTGACTTGCAAGGGAAGGGAATAGTCCCTCTTGCTCGGACTCGAGCCCATCCACCTCCTCTTCTTCGGAAACACAGGTTAGCGCCGCCCGCGTTCCCACTGATGGTGGCTTAGAAGCCATACCACCAAATAGTGGGCCTCGCCACAAGAAGGTAGGCAGTCACTTTCCCAGAACAAGCGAGTAAAAAATCAGACTCTTCCTTTCTTCAGTGAGGCCTTGAGATTCCCGCCTGCGGCAAATGTTGAATATTGTCGCTATAGGAACCCGGCCATAGCTATGACAACTCGGCCCAAAATATAGTAAGTCACCCAAATATAGTAGCCTAGAGTTCTACAAATATCTCAATCTGCCTCTTGCAACCCTATCCTGCAATCCTTATTTCGGATAATTGAATTCCTTAACATGTAAACCTCTATATCCCAGGCCAGGATAAATAGTACGGCTACGAACTAATGGGATTTCGAACTATCTAAGTTCAAATTAACGAGGATACGGATTTTCTGTAGTAAGAAATAATTATGAGCAAATGCACTTAGTCTCTTTAAGCACGTTAAATGAGAGTTCGAACTAGCATAAATAAATGTATTATACGTATAGTATCATGCCAAATAATAGAAACGAGAATAAAATTTATATATAAATAATAATTTTTCAATATTAAAATATTAAGTTTAATTACTGCAATCATTAAAAAATTTATGAATTTAATTTGATGAATGTTAAATATATTTTATATTTCGATTTCTGAAATAATGTATTATAATACCGAACCATAATAAATACAAATATATAGGTATTTAATGATAAGACTTCAACTTACTATTTTTTAAATAAGTATATTTTCATATTTTATATAAACAAAGTTAAATGCATTTAACTAAACTATTACAGAAACAAACAAACAGTAAATTATAACTTACTAGACAAGTTGCCAACTTTAGGATTAATATTTAAGAATTAAACTTTCAAATTAACTTTAATGTAATTTTAGATAGTGTTTCAGAAAATAAATATAAACATATCAAAATAATTAAAACAATGTTTACTTAGTTCAAAGTTTTTATTTAAAAAAATTAAAAAAAAACAGACTTTCTCTATTTTTCAAAACTCTTTCCGCCTTGGGGGCACAAAGAAAGATTTTTTAGCAAGCTCATTACGGCCCGGCCAGGCTCAGACTGGGGGCTGCCGGATGGTAAAAGACGGGATCTGATAAACCCTTGTGGGCACTAAGAATTAGGTTTGATTGGATTGGTGGTTTAAGACAACGGAATATATGGACGATCTGCCAAACGAAGAGTGACTTTCGGAAGGACTTTTATGGCAAACTGACCCCTGTTTATGTTTTAAACAAGTGGAGAGAACCCGCAAAACTCCACTAGTGAATGTGGGCGCTAAGAAGGCCTTTTAATCATGTCATTGTGAGATTTGGCAAGGCCGACAATGAGGCCAGGCCTGGCCAAATCTCACGATGGGCTGGTGTAAGATGGCCTGACATACCGGAAGAGATCATTCAATTTTTATTACTTAATTTTCCTTTCTTCTTGAAACTGATGTTCGTTTTTGATGAAAGGCAAGCTGAACTCGGGTCATATTGATATGCGCTCATAGAGGATTACCCTACTCTGAACTCTGAAAGGAGCCCGGTACGTTTACCCAAATACTTTTATAATTAGTATTTTTAATATTTAACTTACATTAATATTTGTTTGTATAAAAAAGTTAATTTTTAACAAATATTTAATAAGATAAAGGGGGCGATAAAATTCTACATCTACATATTTTTATTCTACAGCATTTGCACTTCAATTTTACTTTTCCAGAAAAGTTTGTCTAACTAAAAAGTGTGCGATCTAGCTACTTCAGCCCTTGTTTAGAAAAGAAAAATATATACTCTGATTAATTAGTCTGGCTCATTCAGAAAAATGGAGTACTTATTTAGAGCAGGGATTTTGTTATAATTCATTTAAAATAAATTATAACAAAATCCCTGCTCTTTAAAAAATTAATAAATATAAAATAAATTTTCTTTCATTTATATAAAATTAAAAATGCCGGAATCGGAGTCGGAGTCGTCATATTTTTTCCGACTCCGACTCCACAGCCCAGGGCCGTGCTCAGTAACGCAGAACTCCTAAGTTAGAATTCTGAGTGTCTTAGTGGGCGGAGCTAAGAATGTTTTGAGCATCATTGAACGATTATTCTTAGACAACTAGGCAAAATGATGGACGAAGTTAAAATTATGATCGCAATAATTGTCGCAAACGAACTGATCGAAAAGGATGAAGTAACCAATAAATTATTCAAATGGAAGCTGCGTCAGATCGTGATGAAATAAATAAAACAATTATTAACTGTAATCAACGAAATGGACCGCTATCCTCCGTTAAAACGTATTCGGAATTTGTTATACCGACGTATGATAATTTTACATTTCGAAGTCATTTTAGAATGAGTTAATGATTTAGAATGGGAGAATAATTCTGTGATTCCTTTAATAAAATACGTTTAATCTAACACGAGCAGCCATCTTGCAAATCGTACGGCAAGACAAAAACAATGACGTCACTAATAGAAGTTAGCATAGATAAAAGAAGCTGACTGAACTAGCTAGAATTCTAGTGGTGGGAGGAGTCGAGCAGTAGTTAGAAACGAGTTCAACATCGGAACATAACTAGACTTAGCAAGAATTCTGCGTTACTGAACACGGCTTTGATCACTATACCATCTATATGTCAAGTAGTCTACAGCAGCGATCTGCAACCTTTCTGACCTAACAGATCACTAAACTCACAATTTTAAATTCCGCAGACCATTATCATAAATTTTTTTAAACGATACAAAATCTGTAGAATAATGATCATAAAAGTTCAATTTTACTATAATATGAAACTCGCTTGTTTAATTATAACAAATTAATGCAAGCCTAAAGTTTATTGCTGCTTGTTTGAAATAACTTTATGGATTCTTAGCGCATTTCCACGAAAGACGACAATCGCACTCACAATATTGTTTATTGTTCATTATTTATTGATAACAGTCACTTCGTGTTTGGTTTTAGATTCGAATACAAAAACTCCCAACGAGTGAAAAAAGCAACTAAGGATTTTACATTTCTTTTGAAATACTTCGCGTAACCTTCAGTTGATCAATGTCCAAATTTTCTCGCGGACCATCGATGGTCCTCGATTTGGGTGGTCCACCAGCGGTCGGCAGCCGGTGATCCGTGGACTACCGGTTTACCGACCGCTGATCTACAGTACAGTACTGTGTTTGCTTTTTAACATCAATGTCTTGCATTGATGTTTATAATCAGATATTTGATATACATCAACACATCAATGTTATCGATGCAGAAACATCAAATTTTACTGCTAATTTCATCCTCAATCCTTTTTAGTAATTAAAAATAATGATACCTTTGTCCATAAATATAAAACTTCATTTCATGAATGACAAAACCTTTAATAATAATAATAAATAGTCTTAGAATTTGGAATTTGTTCCTTTTAAAGTTAGTAATTCCTTTAACCTTGATTTTAGCCGAAAATAACTTTAAAGGATAAAAAGCAAATTTACTTGACTAGAAATGTATAGCATTATAAATAAGAAAAATGCAGAAATAATTTTATCAAAAAGCAACGTGTTTTTAAGAATTGAACAGTTTTTAAACAACTATTATCCAAAATAATTACATTTACATTTAAAGGACTTAAACATTCCCGTCATGGGTTTGGCCAGGTCCATAATGACCAGCCAGATAGAAAGGGGTGGGTTTTATTTTATCTGAATAAAATCACCCATAAATTTTTTGAGGATCTAATCGGACCTGAAAGTAATTTCCTCAGAATGACAGACACGCAAATAATTTCAGCCATCTAGTCTCCATTAAACTCAGTATCATTGTGGCCAATAGCGGTTGATGTTTCCATTACAATTTGATCACGACCGGATGATCGAGCTGTTAAGATGGCAGCCTACCGCTCCAGGCAATCCGGGAGCGAATCGAGATGGCTTTCTTTTAAAACTCTTTCCACCCTGTGGGCATTAAGAGGGCCTCTTTTAGCAAGCCCATTATGGATTCGGTCACGCCCACAATGGGGCGGCCGAGTGGTGAGGGACGGGGCCTGACATATCCAGACGGACCACCTCCGAAAAATTCCTGGGATTTATCTACCAGTCCGGATTCGAATCTGTCCCCCAGAGCGTTAGGTTGCCACCTTGATCGCTCGGCCATCCGGCCATCCAGATTAGAAAATTTCCAGGAATTTTTCGGAGGGTGGTTCGTCCGAATATATCGGAGTCCCTTCCATCACCACCTGGGCGAATGCATAATGAGGTTGCTAGAAAAAAAGGCCTTCTTAAGTATTTATTTTTTAATTTTTTCCGGCTTTTGAGCATTAACGCGCCGGTGTTTTAATTAATCTTTCAAGTAATCCAAAAATATAGATAATTATAAATTATAATAAAATTAATTATCATTATTAGATGGGAAATTATTAATCGTTATAACTATTCAAGTACATTATTATAATAAATAGTACCGTATCGTACACATGTATAATAATGTTATAATTATTTTTTGCTACGATAATTCTGGCAACATGATGTTAAAATTTCTGTTTGCGATGGAAAGCGTGATAAATCCTTGTGAGGGGAAAGTTTATCAACCAAAATAAACATAGTGATGGCGGCTTCATTATTAAACGATCTATATTTTGAATCAAAGTAACCAGTTATAAACTTTGGTGAAAAGAGACAGTTTTATTAATTAACATGACAACAATAAAAACACTTCCTCTGAACTCAAGAAGGAAAATCCGAAATAAAATGGACAGAAGATGACAATCGGAAACCATATGGTGGAATGGAAATCAAAAAAGAAAAAATATTAATAATAAGATGGGATTGAAGTCTTCCAAAGTGACTTCCTGGTCGAAATTTTGCAGTTTAATTGCAATTACTTTTCTTTTGTTCATTTTAAGTAATATTATTTTAATTCATCTAATGTTTGAACAGAAATTCAAATGGCCAGAAAAAGATTATAATTCTCCATATTTTCAAACTTTAAAAATGTATTTTATCAAAGGACAGTCTGATTGGAAATTATTTATTAACGTATCAAATAAAACAAATTTAATGAATTTATTATTACCAAAACCTAAACAAATGATGGATTGTAAGTCCTTAGAAAACAGCAAAGAACATATTTATATTGCAACTGGATGGACTAAAGTTTCTTATTCTGCAAAGTTATATGATAAAGACATTGCAATTAAGACTGTTAATGTTTATGGTCGTGACGTGAGAGAATGTTTGAAGTGGGATTCAAATGTGCGCCTTTTAGACTGTTATCAACTGGCTGCTGCTAAGATTTTGAGAGAGATCTTTCTGTTACAAAAACTAATTCATCCGAATGTCATAGAGGTAAAAAATACTTTTTTTGAACTTAAGAATTTTGATATATTATAATTAGATTTTAATTAATTTAAATGAAAAAATAGTAGCTCTGTCAGATATAATTCTTTTCAGAGACCATATTCATATCAAAACAGCACAAATAACAAAAGTTGTTATGCATTTTATCACTGCCAGACATTGGAATCTAGCTGGGGTTATAGGCCATCACTATAAGAGGAAAACATCAAAAGAAATCACAGTCCAATATCAACCCTTTAGAATATATGGCTTTCCAAAATTTGCTTCTTGAATTGAATGATTTGGAAAAATTAATGAAATTTTAAAATTAAAAATGCTGCTTATCTGTTAAGCCCACATGATGTGTTTCATGGTGGTTTGTAAAATCATGCTGTGTTGCATGCTGCTGCATCACTTAGAGAAATAACTTACAAGTTAGTGAGCTTGAATGGGTGAACAAATAAATTAATTACATTTTATAGAAATCATAGATTGAATTGAGATTAATTTGATTTAATAATACAGTATCTAAATATATTTTTTTTGTTTACAATCAGTGTATTTGTTTTTTAAAAACTTATCATGCAGTTTTAATATTATGTCATAATATGCAAATAAGTCTTCAATGTGTGCATTTGTGTTGCTGGGACAGCTTGTAGAGAATGGATTATTCAATTACTTTTTGGAATTTTTCAATGTCTGAAGCTGATATTTTTGTATTCTGTACAAATATGGTATATTTCAGATGTTTTCACAAAAAAATATATTATGATGAATTTAAATTAATATTAATAGAATAGAATGAATTTAATAGAGTGAGAAAAGATCCAAAATAACAAAATAAATGGAGGCATCTCGTTGGCATATACAGTACAGTTGACCCTCCTATAACACTGTTGATTTTTCCATTTTATATGAATTCCATGTTGTACGAGTCACTTAGATTTTACAAATACGTGAGATGTTCACAGCCCGGCACACGTATTTGTAAAATCTAAGTGACTCGTACATGGAATTCATATAAAACAGAAAAATCAACAGTGTTATAGGGGGGTCGACTGTATATGAATAGTTGGAAAATACATTCATTCAATGTGGATAAAAGTGCAGAAAAGACATGTTTTTTCAATGTGTAACATACAAATATAAACACTAACTGAAACCCGATGCATAGTATAATTGCATTGGATTTTGGTTGGTAATAGCATAACTGCAGCAAGTTTGCACAGTAAGCAGAAGTTGTGGGTTCAAGTCCCGCTTTGGGCAGATTTTTTCTTCCAGTTTAATCTAAGTTATTTAATTAAATATTATAATTATTAATTTTAATAGAAGATGGTACCTAATGTCTCCCTGTAGTGTCAAATTCATCTGTAAATTATAATTATTATTTCCAAATTATAGCACAGTTATTTACGGCAGTTGTGGGTGTCTATTTTAATATGTAGCATAAAGAAACAACTAAATTGGTATATTGTTGAATTGGAATTGAGATAATTTTTAATGGAAGTTAAGTTTTATGATTACAGGTATAACTCGCCTTACGTCGGTAATTGGTTCCAGGAGAGGCAACTTAAATCAAAAACGACGTAAGTCGAATTTACTTGTCACTAGGCTAAACCACAAATAACCATTCCCAATTCTGTATTTTATTTATAAATGTATTTATTTATAAATATTTATAATTTTTAATAATATATGGTTAATAAGAATCTATTTTAAGCTTACAAACAAATAAATTTTAGTTTTTAATATAGTACAGAAAAAAAGTAATCTAAATTTACGAATACATGTATGTACATATTTGTAAATGTACATGTTTACAATTTGGCAGTGTTTTACAGTACATCGCGGACTCTTTATTTGTGAATGTGGTTTGCTCTAAGACATTATAAAATAAAATGATTTTGTAAGGTTAAATAACAAATACAGTTATTAAAATTATTTTGCGATAGTAGAAAATAAACTAATTTATGTTAAATTTACCAATATTGAGTGGCGCTGACAACAACGCCAAACGGTAGATATTAGAACTACCGTGAAAAACACCAATATTGAGCTCTTAAAGACCGTTAAATAAAACAACAACAACACAGAGGGACAGATGTTTTCATGTTTCATTCTCTAGGATTTATGATGATTATATTAACATTTACTGTAAACATATTTTAATATGATTTTATGTGCTTTTAACACTTTTCTAGTGATATTACATTTTCAATATTTGTGGTGGACAGATATAAAGTAGAACAATGTGACTTAAACTTGATTTTTATTTTTCCGTATATTTTTTTTTGACAAACGACATATAATTGAGAATGACATAACTCGAGGTATACCTGTACTTATAATCATGATTAAAATAATGGCAACCAATGAAACAACTTCCAACTAAATAAAAGTACCAAAATAAGTTATTAATATATTCCTATAAATTTTAATTCAAAGAATGTTAATTAGTAGATGTGATGTGATGATAACAACTGAATTAATTTAATTAAAATGCCTGAATGTCCTTTTCTTACTAAATTATAAATTTTCGTCTATAAACAAGCATTCACTATTATCAGGACTTATTATACTGGCTTAACAGACAATACAGAGTTTCACAAAAAATAATTTTTATTTAATATTTAATATACCTGTATATTACTGTAATATACAGGTATATTAAATAAAAATTGCTTTCTGTGAAACTCTGTATTGTCTGTTAAGCCAGTATAATAAGTCCTGATAATAGTGAATGCTTGTTTATAGACGAAAATTTATAACTGAATTAATTCTTTGTACTATTTATAAAAATTTTGCTAATTGTCAAATAATATTTAATGCTAAATTTTTCAATGATATGCTATTTTGAATCTGACATACATTTTTTACTTTCCTGGCTATTATACAAAGAGAAAGTATGGCAATCTGGCAAAAAAATGACCCACCCAGATTTTTACATTTTTGGACTTAGGACACCTTGAAATATTGAGATATGCAAAAAAATTTGGGGTAATTTCTGTATGTATGTATGTATGGATGTGTATGTGGGAGGGCACGATTTTGTTTACCCTGTTTGAAACTTAATAACTCCTGGGGCCATATTCTGGTCACTGTCTCTGGTCTCTCGTCTCTTGCAAGCCGATCACTGATTGGCTAATCCAAATGATTAGCCAATCAGCGACCAGCTTGCAAGAGACGAGAGATCAGAGACAGTGACCAGAATACGGCCCCTGTGCTTTTTGTCAAAAATATCTGAAATTTAGCAGGGAGGTTTGTTTGTTAAGGTGATTGATGCTATTAAATTTTGATGATTAAAGGTCGAAGGGGTGGAGAGATAATGAGGGTCATGTGTATCTCCAGTAAGGCTGGACTTTGTGATGATTTTGCTAGTTATTGGCATTTACATTTTTTATAAAACCCATCCTTACCCTCAAAATTAAGTTTTTTACTATTTTATAATAGTTAAGAACATAAAAAGTTTTTTAATAAAATATGATAACAGATGATGCCACCAAATGTTGCCAGGAAAGTTAAGCAACTTGTTGCTGGCTTTTTTTTTATATTAAAAACACTTTACACCACTTATACTTCAGTGCACAAAATTTAATGAATGCACAAAATAATGTTTTCAACCACTTTAAGTGACCTTCATCAGGCAAGAGAGCCATTTTCTATACATCAAACAAGATATAAAATACTTAAAAATGGAACATTCAATATGTGCAATGATGCAGTTTAAAAATTATGTAATAATTTGTAAACTTTATTATTTGCACATATGGAATGTTCCATTTTTAAATATTTTGTATCTTGTTCGATGTACAAAATGGCTCTTGCCTGATGAAGACCTCTTAAAGTGGTTGAAAATGTTTGTGCATTTGTTAAATTTTGTGCGCTGGAATAAGTATAAATGGCATGAAGTATTTTTAATCAACTGTTCTAGTTTTTGAGAGAGTTGTTTTTTATATTCTTACAAGTTAGTTATTTGTACTATTCTAGAAAAATAATTTTGTTAAATTTGAAAGTTTGAATAGTTGTTGTTTTGCTCTTTTTAAAAAGTTTCGTTTTTTTTTTTTTTTTTTTTTCACTTTTTATTTTGATAAAATGGTAGTATCGTGCATTTTAAGGAATTTTGATTCCTTGAAATGCACAATATTTCATATATTGTGTAAATTGCCGTAGTTGGTTGCATACTGTCGAAAGGAACGCTACACGAGGTGATGCATCTTGTGGGCTTTAACAGTTAAGTATAAAAAACAAATTAGAACAGTACAACAAACAGTATTAGAAGTGTTTAAACATTAATCATTTTAATTGCCACTAGTGCACACGACTGTAGTTTGAATTGCTTACAATTTTTACTTCAATTATATCTCAGCTGTAGCAGGCAAACAATACTGGATGAATTACATATTAAGTAATAATATAATTATATTTAATAAATATTCAATTTAATTTTTAATTGTTTCAATTCATCCTTTTTAATGTTAGCCAAAAAACACAGAATTTTTACTAATTATAGTTTTATTTACTTTTTCTGGTTAGTGTTATTAGTCTGTTATTTTTACTAGTTAAGTCCTAAAGTAATTACATTAAGCAAATTTTACTGTGTTAATTATTAACATTTTTACAATAAATAATAATTAGTCTTTGAATGTTGTAATTAATAATTTTTTCTTTTAGATGTTAGGATATTGTGTGCCTGTAATAGATTATAATGGAGCTCAAAGCAGTTCTGTATCAGTCATTACTGAACTAGGACAACCAATTGATATTATAAGCTTATTACAGATGTCTTGGGAAGATCGTTTAAGAGTAAGTTGCATGTGTAAAATGTGTCTTATATAAAATGTTTATTAAAGATGTATTTTCTATAGTGTATGCAATAACCATGAGATAGATGTCAAATGCTTTCCTATAATCTAAGTATGCTATATGTAGGTTTCTATGTTTGTGTGCTTAGACTAACTGAATCTAGAGCAATTGTTTTTTGCATCCCATGTGATTTCTATAGATTGGTTATAATTAACCCCTTTTAAGCCGCCCATTTTTTTTAGGATTTTTAATTAAGCATAAAAAATACTTAAAACTGAAAAAACACGAAAGAAATGCGTTAATTTTGAAGAAAAAGCTTTAAATTTTATTTTCCTTTGTTTCGCCTGTCTGTGAAATGTAACACCGATGAGTCATTGTTTACACAGCTGGGTGACCTTGAACACAGCTGGAGTCCGATTTCCCGGGACATTCTCATAGACATCGCGGGAGGACAAGGGTTTAAAGTAGGGTGACTTCAATCTGGCGGTATATTTTTAAATATTTTAAAAAAATTATAATTTTTATTGCGATTTCCGACCCCCCCTAATTAATTAAACTTCTATATAATAAAATCTATTAATTAAAAAAATTAAAAAACTATCGGAAGTCGTTTTTGACATCAGAAAGCAGCTTTAAATAACTTTACCGAAGGAAAATCGGTGCGCTACAACTTTNAAAAATTAAAAAACTATCGGAAGTCGTTTTTGACATCAGAAAGCAGCTTTAAATAACTTTACCGAAGGAAAATCGGTGCGCTACAACTTTAGAATGATAAATTAATTTTGATAAAAAACTCCCATTAAAAAAACATTAAGCCTTAATCGAGCCTTATCAAAGGTTCATTAAAATCGCGATAAAATTTTTTCGCGTGCGCAAAAAATTCTGAAAAAATTTGGGGACCTAAAAAACATTCCAAAAATTCAAAAAAAATAATTTTTTCAAAAGTAGCCTTAACGACGTAACGCTATAAAACTTGCTCGAGTCACACTCGAGCGCGGCTCAGAAGGGGTTAAACTGATCCTTTTTAAAAAATACATTTTAAACTGTTAACTGATTCTATTCAGAGACCGCTAGGTTATAATGGATGTATGTCACTGAAACGTATATGCTATTCACACCATTGAGAACAGATTTCTGGGAAACGAAAATTAGTTCAAGAATTAGCTTCAAGAACAAGTACTGTGATTAATGTTATGTAAATTACTTTAGAAAACATGCCTGGGATATAATAATCTCTGCTTCAGCTGAAGGCCAGCATAACATAGCTTATTAGCAATATTCCTATTGAAATATTTCATGCAACAATTGATCACACCATGTTAAGCTTCCAACATATAATTTACACAGTGGCTTGCATATTGATATTACTTCTCATACTTCAATGAGCTCCAATTACTTCTAGATGATAGTAAGTACAGTGTGAGAATTCGGACGCAAGTGAAAATTTTCACACTATACTGCGTCACATCAAAGGTGACTTCAAAGGTGACTTCCATCGTTGGAGGAAGGACTCCCCTCACACCAGGGGATTGCTCGGTTATAAGGTAACTGCGATGTTTAAATAAATATCCAATTACCAACAACAAAAGTATGATGCTGTATAGAGGATATTACAAGAGGTCATCAGCGAGGGTAAAACGAAATCCCGTGATCCCCATAAAGTCCAAGCGACCCGATGAGAAGTCAATGTAAATGACCAAAAAAGGCGATGAATTTTTCTAAGACGGGGGAGAAGGTGATAAATTTGGAGAACTGTCAAATTCAAGTAAACAACATGCGCTGCAAAGACAGCTGCAAAGACAATTACATCAGAAAAAGTCCCAGATATTTCCCATGCTAATTGGGTATAAAAAGGGTTCGAATTTGCTCCTCCGTGCGGACAGCCGAAGAACCCCTCCGAGCGAACATCTCCATGCAGAACTCTACAATCGGAGAGCAACGGAGCGTACACCCTCTACAGACATAGCTGAGCGGACATCAGGGGACATCAATTCCATACTGCCATACTGTCCGTCGTTCCATATCGCCATCCAAGGGAACTTCAATGGAAAACCGCTGATCCCAGTGCATCCTACCAATGCTCTATACAAAGAGATTGCATCCTACTAGGTAAACCCTTGCCCAGATTTTGTCTCTCTCTCCCCAACACGTCCCTCTTAAAGAAGTTTCTCTCTCGATCTTTAGTTTAGGTTAGAACGTAGATACAGAATAGAACCTTTTCTTTTTATTTACGCATGTGTTATTTATGTTTATTTCCTTTGATATGCATAATCTCGTATTTGTTTATTAAATGTGTTAGTATTGTGTAACCAGTGTAGTTATCTGGACACCTTGTCACGGCCTCACTACCCCTCCCACTCAGTTAACAACGCCATTCCTGACAACGAAGCCGATAAGTGGGGGGAGCTCACCTTTCTAACCCCCTCGGTTCACAACAGTATAAATTAATTTGGCATGGTGATAATTGACAAGGATATGATAGGTAAAAGATTTGTGCATGGTGTAATTATAATTATGGTACTGAGGTGTAATGTATATGTTCATGAAAGTATTAAAGTTCAATATGCCAGTCTAAATGGGAAAAGGTGAACATACTGTAAATGATCATCTAAAAGAAGTAATTTGGGTTCATTGAAGTATGAGAAGTAATAAAGCCATAAAGCTCTGACAGCAATATTTGTGAAACAATAGGCGTTTTAGATAATCTGCTATGTCATACAATATATTGTAAAAATGTTCACTGTGCAATTGTAAAGCTGTTGACAATTAAGCATATGATTTAAACATTTTACTGATTAATGATATTTTTTAAATGTGAGAGTCTTGTAATAATTTTTTGGGAAGTTTTTTGCCTTACATTTAAAAGATGTTCACCTAACTGATAAGGCCACAATGCATTTTAGGATATATATATATATGTATATATAAGGTATTAATAGTTTCATGTGTGTGATAACTCTTTCATTAAAATAATTTACTATGTATGTGTTAAAAAGTATATTTATACTATATATCATAAAAAGGGGATTAAAGGCTATTTGATAAATCTTATTTTATCCATAAATGAAATTTTTTATAGTTTGAAAATTAATTGCAAATGCATTGAACAATAGTAATACAGTAAGATAAATTGGAAAAATTTTCCAATTGGAGTATTCTAATTCTAAGTTTTCCCAAATAAGTTGGAAAAAATTTAAACTCTTATATGTTGAAAAAAGATGATTCAGATTCAAATTGTGGATGACTTCATTATAATTAGAATAAACAACAGTTTACACAAAACAATGATGAAGGTTTGGATTTATTATTTTGGATATGATTAAAGTCTGAAACAGTGTAAATAGATATATCAGTAAACAATTTCTAATTATATTAATATTTAAATTACACATTTTCTATTTGTTCTAATATGTCTTTTTAATATCAGAGCCAAAAAACACAGAATTTTTACTAATTATAGTTTTATTTACTTAATTTTATTTCATTGAGTATTTACTAATGTTTTGTTATTGTATTGCTGATATCTGTAAAATTAATTGATACACAATAATGTATTAATATAAAAATTAATTAATTTATATATTTTTACATTATTGTGTGTTTAAATAATTACTAATTAAAAATAAATTGTTCATTTGATTTTAATAATCATAAATTAAGTTTATTAAACAGTTTATATTCTTGGATTGCCTTTTGTTCTTGTTATAGTTGTTATGAGCAAGCATAAAATTGCCTTAGAGAACAAATCACACAGGAACACGAGTAAGATAGAAACACAGGCTTTTGTTTCTGAGGATATGCATTTCGGACAACATGTTCCTCATCAGTCTTTTCTTAAATTCTACAGTAATCTGGTTACAATATGAATTTGGTTAAAACATAAATTTTTGTTTTTTTTAATTTTCAATGAACGTAAACAGTTACCTTGATAACAGAAATTACATGTATGGTATAGAAAATTGTGACAACTGGATCAAATGTATAATAAAATACCTAAGTAAATGTAAATTAAAAAATAAATAAATAAATGAAAAATTTAAGAAAGAAAAGCGGGTTTTAAGTAAAAATTAATAATAAAATGGATACCTATATTTTAAAAAAGGGGTTGTGATAAAATTCTATTAAAACAATAAAAATTAAAGTTGGTATAAAGTGACTTGTATATTCTAAAAAAGGAAATAAAATCTGTTAAAATTATAATTCAGGTAAACAAATAAACAATTAATGTAAGAAATACCTGTAAATTATAAAATGAGGGAGTATAAGAAAATGCAGTTAAAATTGTAAAAATTAAAAGATCAAAACACGTTAAAAAGTTAAAATGAGGTATAACAATCCCTGTATGACTAATATCTTATCATTAGAATGCAACAGTATAATACAGAAAGACAGGAGAGGGAGGGATATCTCAAATGGACTCTTTTCAGAGTTGTAGAAGTGGTTGCCAGATCTCACTAATGACAATGCCAGTGTTCAAATTCATTCTGTTATTTTTAATTTTTATAATTTCTATATATTCTAAAAATCTTTAAATGACTTTTTTCCTTTTTAAGAATTTTAATACTGTCCAGTGAGACCTCGCAACTTGCACGATTACAATGAGTAGAGACTATGGAGTTTGAATAATTATATTTAACTGCCTTTATGTGTTCTTTAATTCTAATTTTTAATGCTCTACCTGTTTACCGTACATAATGATAATTAAGTTAGCAGTTACATGTGAAAGTGTATACTATGTTATTGTTTAGATATCTGTTTTTCCTTGATATTTTCTCTAGTTTTTAATTTTTCAATTTTTTGTTTAATATTGAATCAAGAATTACATTACAGTAGACCCCCTATAATGCGGGTTCATATAATGCAGATTCATATATCGCGGCGAAAAAATTGCGACCATATTCATATAAAGATGCTAATAGAGACTTGTAAAATGCAGTAAAACGTCATCGTCGACTCATGTCGCGACAGGATTGGTCGAATCTGGACCAATAGTGGACGAGCAGCTGAAATACTTACACACTACAGAGAGTTTAGGCGGGTAAGTTGAGTTTATCATCATCTGTACAGTATGTAAATTAGGTACCATAAGTCTAATACAGCACTGTAATTTTATACATTTCTTGTGAAAAAAACATTTCTTATTCAACGGCCATAAAAATTATTTCTATTAATGATGTCTCCAAAGTTCAACGAATTTTTCGCAGAAAAATAACTTATCAGAAAATGTGGCCGCCGTTTGGTGCACTGCTCCACAACAAAAACAAGCTTAAGCAATTGCACCGTGGAACAGTGCACACTCAGTAAGTAATCCTACAATTTTTTGTTTATAGCATAGTTTATATTGATTATTCCCAAAAAATTATACGTGTTTTGGAAATGTTGAGTCAAATTAGTCTAGAATTGATTAATTTTATGGAAGAAAACCTTTCAAACAGCCGTAGTCCGTAAACTGCACATGTTCTGGGCTGTGATTGGCTCATGTATTTACAGATTCCTACAACGCGAAATTCTTATAAAGTAGAACGTATCTACCACATTATAGGAGGGTCGACTGTGTATGATGTCATTAATTTTTGAATATTCTGAAATAAATTGGGGATGTAATCTAATTTTTTTGTATATTCTTTATGTTTGTGTTATTGTGTGTTGATTTGTGTTTTTCCTTAACCAACCATTAATTATCTTGTTAGGGTAATTGTTCAATTGAAAAATATGATATATGCTTTACTTCTTTTTGAGTTGTTATATATCAATAGTGTGTAATTTAATTGTGTTAATATACATATTAAAGATATTCATTTTGATATACATGGGTTCATTCATATTAAAGATATTCATTTTGATATACATGGGTTCATTAGAATAATAGTTGATGACTTTGTCAATGTCGCATGGTTTTACATATTTGCTGAATGTTAGTGAATTACGGAGTTGATTGTTGTCTAAAAAATTTCATCAAAATAACTAATTACTAATTCAAACTTTATTAGTAGAAGGTTAACTGCCTGTTACAAAGGGAGTACTACACATTAAGTTTATCATCAGTATTATTACAATTACAATTAATTAAACATCAAAAAATTAAACATCAAAAAACTTCTTAACATAATTATATAATTTGAAAATATTTTTTTGTGTTGCATGATGGAACATCCCATACATAGCTTCCACCGATTCACATTTGCTAAAGTCTACAAGATCATATCTCTGTCTCAAATCTAGGCTCTTCTCACATTCACAAATCAGGTGAAATTTAGAAAACGACATATGACATCTTGGGCATAGATTATTCTCATATATATACACTTTATTGTCTATCACTAGTGAACTTTGGAATTTTTGTATAATTGATTTAGGAGGTTAAACATAAATTCACCGCCATCTCTTATCTTAATTAACAACTTTATACATCTTTTAACAAAGAGCGCAATAAGACTAAATCTGTTTATCTCCAATCTCAGTATACAACCCGGAGTTTTATAATCTAACCAAAACAGCCTCCGTATAAATTTATTTTGGATAGTGTCCAGTTTTTGAACATTGGAGAGACACCATATAGGAGAAGCGTAGCTTACTGAGTTAAAAACCAAGGACTGAAATAACTTAAACTGCGTTTGGATCGTACCCATGCCAGACCTAGCAAACAGCTTCGCAATACCTTGGATTAATCCATAATCAAAATAACTAGCACCTTATTTGTTGCCGGGAGAATTTATTAAAAAAAGGAACATTTTTGATCTACTCCATAGATCATCATCAGGTTGAAACCAATGAATATGGAATAACCACATAGAATAGAACAGAATTCAAATTCAAAAAATATCGACAACCGAGCAACCAAGTAAAATAATTAAAGTGTAAAAAATACAAAGTGTAAAAATAAATAACATACAACAATAATTAAATAATAGTACAAGCCGCTAACAGTTAACAAAAACTATAAAGGTTCTCATAACGTGATTGTGGATCAAGGCGCAATTCATAAGCTACTTGTAAATTTTTTAATAGCAAACTTTCATGCTGAGGGTAGGCCCTCCACATCCCTAGCGTTTATACATCTATCATCAAGTTTGCTTCTGTATATTTCCAATTTTTTGGCAGTCTTCACTAAAGTTGGAGAGTGTATTTGTCTGACAATTTCCGCCTCTTCCCATCCAACTACAGAACCTTGAGCTTGAGCCATATGGGCCAGTACCATTGCGTTTGATCTTTTCCTAACATCATATTTATGTTCTCTGACCTTTACCCCTAAGTTTCTCGTTGCAACTCCTATGTACTCCTTTTTTAATCCTAACTGTTGGTTCTCGTATGGGATCTTACAAACTCCTGCTTTATCTTTCTTCTTAATATCCCCTTTATTATTTCTTAGAATTTTGGAGCTCGTTTTAAAGTCAATGTTGATCTTTTCATGTCTGCAATCTTCTTCATGATGTTTCTTACATTTTTGCTGTATGTGAACTTTATGTATTTACTAGGTCTTTGTTTAGAGACCCTTTTATCATTTATCTCAAATTTTCTAACAATACCAGCAATTATGTTTCTCCTGTAACCTAAGGTTTCTGCTATCAGCATAATCCTGTAGATTTCTTTGTCTCTGTCCATAACATTGCCGCAATATAAAAAAGCCCTTCTAAGGCACGAAATGCTGCCAATTTATAACAAAAAGGATCATTGATCAAGTGGATATAGAGTGGGCTATGTGTTGGTTTGGTAAACACATTGGTGGATAAATGCCCATTCTTAAAGATGATATTACTGTAGAGTGTCGTTTATCCGAATCAATTGCGGACTGAGGTTGTTCGGATAACTTATTTTTCGAATAACCGATTATGTATGAAAAAATATATTAACCTATCCTGTGTTGAAATTTTTCTCCGTTGCGTGTCACTTCGCATTGAATTTTTGTCGATGTTAAGCCTAACGTATACCTTTTAAAATAATAATCGTGTCTATTGTATCGTTAACAATTATTTTTTTATTTCTTACAAACAAAATAAATATATTGAAAAATATAAAAACCAAAAATATATACTTTAAAAGATGATCTAGTATCAAAAACTTTCAATTCAGCACGACACACAGTCCTCAGAAAAACACCACACAAAAGTGCCAGTGCTGCCAGCTAAAACACACACACTAACAAAAAAAATATTGGAGTAGCCCAAGATATAGCCAAAGATTGCAGCGCCACAGCACTAGCGAAAATTTAAATTTGCCAACTGGAATGCTTTCAGATAACTGACGTTTCAAATAACCAACTTTCGGATAAACGACGCTCTACTGTATTGTCTAAGAAATGTATAACTATGGAACTTTTCTGCTCTAGCTTCAGATTTAGGTCTTCGTTGTCATTGGTTCTTTCTATGAAGTTACTAATTCCTCTATTATTTTTCCATAGTATAAAGATATCATCTACATATCTCTTGTAGTAAACAATATTATTCCTGAAGCTATGCACAACTTTATCTTCAATTTTTCTAACCACCAGTTTGCATATGAGCCCTGAAATTGGACTTTCCATAGGAACTCCCCTATTTTGTTTGTATGTTTGGCCTTCAAATATGCTGTGAATCCTTCTGTGGCTTTGAAGACCAACATACAAACAAAATTCGTTTGCGTAATTTTTTGAATTTCTCGCTCAATTTTAGAGAAATAACTGATGATGGACACTTAATGCATATGAAAACGTTCTTATGTTATTAAAGAATTATGCTGGACTTTTGAATCATTTTTTATTTTATTTTATAACAAATATCATTTAAGTTATCCTTAATGTGAATTTGTATCAGCAGAATCTAATTCAAAAATAGTGTACCATGCTGTAGACAGTGTGTCTGTTTCCTTGAAATTAATAGCGACTCCCTCTTTAAGTGCTCGACAGATATCGTTTTTACCTGATGATGTCTATTTTTATATAGACAAAAACATTAGTAAATTCTTTTCTTACTTGTTAGTGCTGATGTTGGTTTTATGTTCTGTGTATCAAAAATGATACACAGAGGTACATAAAGTCATTGACTCTCATTTTTTATTATATTTTTGGATTACTCATTGCAATTAATGGAAAATGGCAAAGTTTAATCAAAATTGATCAAATATTCATAGATTTTGAGAACAAACACAATTCTGTAAGCCACATAGAAGAGACTTCTCTAATGCTCCGCCTCAATTAAATTTGATTTTACTTCTTTATATATTTCTAGGTTCATTATAAATATTTGTTTTGTTTTGTCTGCAGGTACAGTACAATGGCTAGGTTATTATTATTTTTTAAATTATTTGTGTGTGAAAGTTGAGTTTGATCCAGTTGTCACAATTTTCTATAGCTTATATGTAATTTCTGTTATCAAGGTAATTTTACATTCATTGTAACTTTATAAATTTATTTTTAATAATGTTTTAACCAAATTCATATTGTAACCAGATTACTGTGGAATTTAAAAAGGGACTGATGAGGGACATGTTGTCTGAAATGCATATCCTCAGAAACCAATAAAAGCCTGTGTTTCTGTCTTAGTCGAGTTCCTGTGTGATACATTCTCTAAGGCAATTTTATGCTTACTCATAATGGAATTATATTATCTTTATATTAAGTTATTATATTAAAAACAAATTTTAACTAACCAGAAATAAATTATTTTAAGAATATTAAACTTTTTTATTGATTTTTTTTATTTATTTATGAAGAATTCTGTTTTAAAAGATTAGTGTAATTAAAAGATATGATTCAATTGTAATGTTCTTAATTAGTCTGAAAAATTCTTACATCATTCTTACATCTTTTGTATTTGTTTACTTAATAATAAGTTTAAATATAAATAAATTATAAAAACAATAATTTTACATTCATTAATTTTTTTAGGTTTCTTTGGGCATGGCACACCTATTATATCATCTTGCTCATTCTTCTTTAGGCTCTCTGCTCATGTCAGATTTCAGACGACAACAGTTTGTTTTAGTGAGAGGAAAACTCAAATTATCTGATGTAGATGACATAATTATTGGCGATCCAAAATGTTCATCAAAGAAAAATTGCACAAGTTATTTTACTCAACAAAATTTAACATTGACTGTACCATGTCAAAAAGGTAAGCTAAATTTGAACATATTTACATAAAATACACTCACTAACAAAACCAAACTTAGAATAAGAATAAATTACACTGCCCTTTGGCATTAAAGTTGTTTACTTGAAAAGTTTTTAACCACAAGCAAGTTATTTTGAGATTTCAAAATGTAATCTTAAACAGAGTGATATTTTGAATTATAATTTTTTAAAAAGTATGTTAAAAGATTTTATATATGCAGTTTAAATCTTAGCATATAGCTTTTACAGAAGTTTGAACTGCTATGACATAAATTTTAGATTAATTTAAGATAAATATGAAATAATTTAATAATCTGAATGTTTGTACTTATTTTTTTCCTGGACAGTACCAAGCTTACCTGCTAGTTTATTAATATTACTAAATGTTTAATCAGAATATTTAATAAATAATGCACTATACAGTAGAGTCCCATATAACGTGGGGGATTCGTTACACATTATAGGAAATCACGTTATCAAAACCTGCATTATCACATGATTTATGAAAGTTAATACCTTGGACTATAAGTTGAAAAAAAAAAAGTATACCTCCGATTGACAAAATTCAGGGGTGTTGCTTGCTTTATTTGCGCGTTGTACGGGACTTTACTGTACTCACATACAGGTATTTTAACTACCTGTGACTACCAATAATACTATGTTATCTCAGAATTTGAGGCATATGATTTTGAGATAAATCTTTTATTTTATTTACATTGGTAGCTCAAACATAATCTTTGTTTAAATTTTTTGAAACAATGCATCATTAATTAATAATATCTAGGAGTTAAATTTTTTACAATTATATTCTGATTGTGGAAAGCTTAAATTTATTTTGTTTATAAAAATGTACAATACATGAAATTTGTTTATCAGTTTTCAGATATTCAAGTGCAAAAAATAATATCACCTTAAATAAACTTTGGAACTAATTGAATTATATAATTAAATAATTAAAGTAAATTTTTAAGTAATGTAAAATAAATATATTACAGGTATTTGCTCTGGTCTCAATGAGAAACAAAATATAATACATGCTGGAAGGCATTTCATGAGTTTTATTCTTCCACATGGTGTTCCTGGAAAGTTACAACCATTTGTTGATAAAATTGTAGATGCTTATAGTAAAGGTTCTTGGGATTCAGAGAAACTTCTACAGAAAACTGAAGAAGTAGTATATCTTTTTATTAATGGTTTTTACAGAAATACTTTATCAGAAAAAAATGCTTTAAAAAGTAAGTATTGATAGAAAAATATACAGTACATATATTAACATATTAATGATTATATATTAATATATTGTTTTATTATTAATAATGTCAAATTAGATTACAGGATTTATAACAATAGTGATTTACCAGGATTATTTGATTATCATTGCCAACTAACATTATCTGGACATGGTTGCACTCTTTCTGTATTTGATACTGAAGAAGCAGCAAAAATATGTTCTGGAGATCCAGAATGTAAAGCATTTGTTTTAACAAATGACACAACTTGGAGTGGTATGTAACCTAATAATAAATTTATACAGTGATACCTCGGTATACATCTGCTTTAGAATATGTCCTGTTTGGACGAAACAAATTTTGCTCGGTATACGACTTAATTCAATTATACGCACCATCTATGAACAAGTAGCATTATCAGTGCACTAGACAAGACTAGACATTTGCGGTGCAACGGTTTATAACTTTGTTAAATTTCTTCTGATTTTAATTTGTAAGTAAAATTTTATTATTTTAATTAATCATGAATTGCAAGAAGGCAAATGAAAAGAAACAGAAAACTAAAAAAATGACTAGAAACTGAATGAAACTGATAAAAGAGATTGTTGAAAAATACAAAGGTGGCACGCTTGTTTGAGATTTTAACTGTTGCATACTGTATTCCGAGAATGACAATATTGACAGTCGTGAAAAATAAAGACGTTATTAAATCTGCTAACATTGTGAAAAGAGTTAAATCAATTTCTAAACAGAGATTGAAGACTCATGTTGAGAAATTGCTTTTGCTTTGGATAACTGAAAAACAATGTGCTGGAGACAGAGTATCGGAAGCAATTATTTGCAAGAAAGCTAAAAAGATACATGCTGATCTCATGGAAAATTAAGCAGGAACTAGCCAGGAAAGCGAGATGTTTAAAGCCAGCCATTTTTTTTTACATGAGAACAGATTAATCATTTTTACATTACTTCTTATGGGAAAGGTTGGTTTGCTATAAGTCCAATTCGGTATAAGTCCAAACATCAGGAACGGATTAAGGTTGTATACTGAGGTTCCTTTGTATTTATTGATATTTAATAATTTCATAGCCATTCCAAACATTATTTATTTTTATTACAAAGATATAATTGGTAATGCCATTTAAACATACAAATGTTTTCCTTAAATCAGTCAACTCCATCTTTCATTTAAATAAAAATATTGCTATACAGTTTAAGTCAAATGTATTTATTTTGATGAACTTTTTCAGATATTTCATATCTCATCTTTAGATCAAACACTTAGTGTTAACATGTTGAGCACCACACAATAAAACATTATACATGTGAACCTGGAATCAAACTTTTTTCTTAGTTTTCAATCATGACTAATGTATTTTTCTCTCATTATTTTAATGTTTATGTGTTTGTGGAAAAAGTATATTTTTGGAAATGCTCATAGATGGGCACAAGGTTCCATAGACAATTTTTGCTAACTTGAGCATGTGTCCACTGATGGATATTGAACATTAGTGACGTAGATATCCAAGAAGAGGAAATACCTGTAGAACAAATGAAAGCATTTTTTAAATCAAAGCAAATTTACTTATCAAAGGAAGTTGAAGGGCAAAAAAAGAGTGACTGAAAGGAGTTGTTATGTTATAAAGTATTATGCTACTTATTGAAGGGCAATATTGTGCTACTTATGCTAGAATGGGTCAGCAACCTTTGAACAGTGTTGTGCCAAACCTAAGTTATAGAGTTATTTTGGGTGCCAATATGATTCTATCAATTTTATTATATATAGTATCAAACTTTATCTGGTTATAAAGGAATACAAAAATTAATAATTAAAATTCAATTTTTATTACATTTGTATTCAGTCAGAGTCCCACTGAAAATTGTCCCATGTGCCACAGGTTGCCGATCCCTGTGCTAGAAAATATACCAAAAAAATAAAACAATATGTTAAAACTGTAATATTTCAATCTTTCTCTTGTTTTAAACAACACAAAATGAAATAAATATGTTAGGTTTACGTCGCAACACACCACACCAGAAAATATGTAATAATGAACACAAAACCAATAACTGGTCTGAAGAAAACAAACTTTCTCAAGGCAAATGTTTTCTTAACTCCTTCTGAGTTCTTCTTCAGGTGTTATAATGGTTACCAGATGGAACGTTGTTCAGAGCTTAAAAGTTTTTGAAAGAAGTGTAAATTTGAACCACAATTTGAACTATGAGTATAAAAATTTAAGGCCGTATAACTGGTTGTCCTGGGCATAACGAAGATTCAACCAATGACTATACCATCATGTCAAGTAGACCCTGCCAGACTATTGACAAGATCATTTTCTTAAAATTTATACAAGATGATGTAAAATTAGCTTTAAAAATTCCTAAGGCTTCCAACCATCTGAAGTGCTCCATGTGGGATGTAGTGAGGAGGAGTTTGGCTCATATGTAGTCCGCCACAATTATCAGATTGGCCATATAGGTAGAGAGGGCTGTGGAAGTTGTAGCATGTTGCATGTCTGAGATATATTCTTGCATTCTGGTTCTCATAGAACACTTAGTGGACCCAATATACATAAAGTCTCTAATGCATTTGATGTCCCTGATAGGGACACTAAATACACCAGGAAGTCTGGTGGGGTTGGGAGGGTCCTTTCTATTATGAAGTATGTTGAAAATAGATGGGCACCTCCTGAATGCTATACAAACATCACGCCTCTTGGCAATTTTTGCATACAATGAACTTAAGTAGGCATTAAAGATAACAGAGACACATTCCACCTCCCCAGCTTGGTCGGTTACTGATGTGTTGACCCACTGTGTGGATCTTGGATGGATCCAGTGGTATAGGTCAATCAGCTGATGTACAACTTTTGATTAACCATGGGAAATGGCTAACTCTTCTATTAGTGCTAATTCAGCATCAAGAGCATGGGGGTAGAAGAATGGATGAAAGCCCTCTTAATTAATGTTTTTTAGGTTGCAATCTTGTAACAATTAGGTTCACGACCCCACTAGGATGTAAGAAGACATTGAACCTGGTTTGCAAAATACTAAGGTATGGATATCCAACCCATTAACAGTAATATTGATGTCTAAGAATTGCACCTCCGAGGGGCTAGATCAATAACAATCCTTTCAGTTGATCCTGGAAGGATTGTTATTGATGATATTGACAAAGGTTGTTAATCTGAAACTGTGTTCCAAAAAATAATAATGTCATTGATATACCTCCTGTAAAGAGGAATGTCGGAGAGGAATTGGGGGAGAACTTTTCTCTCTAATTGTCGGACCACCATCTCACATAGATCTCCCAATATTGGGCTACCCATCGGGACCCCCTATCCCTGACAGTAGATTATACCATTAAATTGAAAGACAGGAGGTATATCGATGACATTATTAGTTTTTGGAAGACAGTTCCAGATTTAATAGCCTTTGTCAATACCATCAACAGTACTGTACATTACTGTTCATGTGTTTTGATTATTAAAATATGTCTGTATTTATATGAAATAAAAATGTACAAAGCGCAAAGTAAGAATACAGATATCCCTTGCTTAACATGCAAAATTAATTGCAACAAATCCTTTATGTATGGCAGAAGTTTTAATTAACGTGACTTTAACAGCCATCCTTACTTAGCATATATGTTTTTCTCAGCAAATAAGGTGTTAGCAAATTTACTATTTTCATGCCAATAGTGATTTCTTATATAGATATTTATAGTTTAATTTCAATAGTTATAAAATTTAACACATTAGCAGTAATGTGATATTGTATTCTTTGCTTAGAAGCTTATTTTAAAACTTACAGTTTTGTTTGCATAAAATCAAATTGAAATGTCTGCAGATAAAATGCATATCAGACATATTACATATGTTTTTCAAGTTTTGTAAAGGATATGTAGTAACTCCCATAGCATGTGATGGCTGCGGGGTTGGACAAACAAAAAAATAAAATCACAGAAGATCACAGAAGAATGATTAGTCAGCATAAAGGCATGTGGTGTAATAACAAAAGTTTATTTGTAACACTAAAGACACTTAATATAGGTTATACATATACGTCATGAATTCCAGTCCCATTACAAGACTTGCTTTCATTTTTACCTTCTCCTATCCTTCCTCCAATGCACAAAGCTCCTTCGATACCCAACAAGAATACAAAATACTAGTGCAAAGAAACAAAAGCAAATAAAAAAATATAGTATAATGAAATAATATAATAATATAATGATAATTATATAATGATATAATAATAAATATAATTATAAATATAATATAATGAAAAAAAATCATAGGTTTTGACGACCCTACAATTAGTCATTCATTCCTTTTTGTTGCTCCTTTCTTCCTTCATTCATATTTCACTTGAATGCAGATGGATTCTTAAATGGTGTTGTTATTTCCTGTTTTCTAGTATGGTTGCCATTCCTGACCTCTCCTTCCTTTCAGGTTGACTGTTGCTCGCACTTCCTTGTTTTACGACGACCTCCGTTGCCCCTGTCTCAACAGGGGCAACGGAGGTCGTCGTAAAACAAGGAACTCTTGCTATCCACCATGTCATCCAATAGCAAAAAAATTGAAAGCTGAAAACTGAAAAAGTGCCTCTCATGTAAACTCACACTGTATTTATGTCCCCTCCAGAAGAAACTACATTGTCCCACATGACCAACCCTTTGGCCAATGGCCATACCTTCTACTCTGTCAGCTGAGAACTGATGGTATGGAGGAAGGAATTGGAGGGGGACATGTATAATAATGGGAGACGATAGGGACACAAATGAAATAATAAACAAAAAAAAAAAATAGCTGCAAAGTGCTACAGGTATAACACTGTATGAACAGAAAAAATACTGTGTATGGGGAAGATGCTCCTAAATGTTGGATGTGTCAAATGTGATTTTGAAACTTTCGTTCAAGAAGTTTTGAACTAAAGGATACAAAATGCACGGGCTGCCCTAAAGATGTTGATAAAAAGAAATTGTTAAAAATTGACAAATAACAATTCATGAACTTGCAACAAATCTTAGTATCATCATGATAATTTTTTTGTTTTCACTTAATGCATGCAGAACACAAAGTGGCTAGAGTATAATTTATCTGATGGAAGGTAGGCAGATCTAAAATTTCATTTTATTTTTAAATTAGTTACACATTTTTATCACAGAAAACTTTTTTACTGATACAAAATTAAAAGAAAAATATTTATCATTAACTGAAAATTTGTTCTAGTGGGTTGTGATTGTTCAGTCAAGCCCAAGGTAGTACCATGATATTTGATTAATGCATGAAGGGATCATTAATTGCTTTAATCAAGGGATATCTGTAGTGTGTTCTTCTTTCAAGCCAATCAAGGGTAGGAATAGCCTGGAAAAATTGAAATGGCATGCTAAACAATCATAAAAGGCAGATTTGTATGGTTTTACATGCAAAGATGTGTAAAATTGTGTCCAGGGTATTGAAAAATACCAGAAAAACTTCTATTGTCTGATAAACCTGCATATTTGATAACCTGGCACTGCATCAGTCCCAACAATGCTGGGTTAACAATGTCACTGTATATACATAAGGCACCACTAAATATAAGTTTTCAATGTGGATAAGGGGTGTTGAAATTCTCTTTCTTTTCTCCATAAACTTTCAGGTGTGTTTGAGAATTTCAAAACAGCATTTCTAATATCCAAAGGTTTCCATGATGATGACTTTATTTGCTTAATTTTCTGTTACATATGCATTTCAGAAAGATGTATACTTTCATTCCCTCTTCAGTGCTATGAAAGATAGGATTTCAGCATCTCTTATCCACATTGCAGTGTATATCAAGAAATAGAAATAAATAAAAACACGACAACAATTGGTTAAAAGGTATATTTTTTCACATATTTACTGTATCTTACATTACAATAACATCTGACATTCAGAATTTATTGTAAATAATTTTCTATACAATATGTTTCTTTCCCTAATTTTTTTTGACTAGTGTGGATAATGTATCAGAAGCACACATATGTAACAGTTTTTGTAGAAAAACTTTGACTTTGGTAAGATAGCATGACACTAGTGTCAGTTGAATGTCACATTTATACCACCAACATAATAACATAAAGTTAATATTCTAGAATTGAAAAGAAATAATGACAAATGTCATTTAAAGAGAGATTTTATTTTTTATAATTATTTGATAGTTGAATATGCAAAATAAAAAATAGATAGTTTAATTAATTAAATAATATATTTATTAAAATTCATTATAAAATCAGAATAAATAAGAAAATAAATAGTTTATGTATTTTCTTTCAGGAAGAAAAATTGTTCATTTTAAAAATGGATACAAAACACCTGTAAAAAGTTTAACAACTTTATTTGTTAAAAACTAAATAATATTTTGTATATAATTTAAATTTGACAACTAAGATTTATAATCTGTGCCAAAACACCAGTGAAAAATTTTTCCTATGGAAAATATTTGCATATAATAATAATTTTTTTATAATGATTTATTATATGTAATTAAAGTTTTGAATTAAAATAGTGTATGTTCATGAAAAAACTGAATAACTGATTTCAAATTATTCAAAGTGATGAAGCACTATACTGTACCATACATAAATTAGATTTCTATTTAATGCAATAAACATGGGCTCCAAAAAGTAATTGAATATCTTTTGTAGTCTGATGGGCTATTACATGACTAACTTGAAGAATTAGTGACAGTAAAATTAATGGAAAAATGTTTAAGGTTAAAAAATACGAATTCGTTTTATCAATATACTTTTGCACATGGAAAAACAAATAAAAGATTTGGAGAATGTTTCTTACATGATAGATTATGCAAGCAAACTGTTAAATGACAGTTTTATCTTGATTTATACAGTAATACGCAGAAAATATCAGAAAATGAGCATTTATTGTGACGTCACAGTGTGGAGCTGCAATTTTTAATTTATTTAATTTAAAATGTATACAGTACTCTCTACCTCAAATTAGTAGTGTCGTGCCGGTCATCTAACACCTTTCAGGAAAAAATTTTTGAATTGAAATAACATGACTTCCGATTTACATCGGAATATATAGTTAATCGGAGCCACCTGCCCTTAAGGTGTGTATATCTGGTCTTTTATCTAATTCCGTTCTCGAGATTAATTAAGGAAAGACGGACAGACAAACGATAGTGGGAATTTTAAGTCTACAGTTTTTTCAAATTGCTGCTCAATAAAAATAATAATAGAATAGCTTAATAGGTTTCAGATGTTACTGTCAGAAAATTACATGATTGAGGTTTTGTTTGTAATACGTTAAATTTGACCATTTTTAAATCATTTTGCACATATTTATGGGGGGAAAAACAGTTACTAGCCCACGATCATATAGCGACGATTTTCCCGCGCCTACTAGTTTTTTCGCAGATATTTTTTACCAAATTGACTTAGTTATGTTTTCATGATATCCGCATGTTACATGCTATCCATGTGTAAAAATTTCGGTCGAAAAAAATTCCGTTGTCACAGGCTTTCAAAAAACCGTTTCGGAAATTTGCCGCATGCAATACGCAGCGAAAAATCGCTGCAAAGTGAGGCTTTTCACAATTTCCGCAAGAGGTGGTCACGGCGCTATGCACGTTTATCAGTTCTGCATGATGTAATGGCATGGCGGTCGCAACGACCTTGAACGCTTATCTTCATAAAATAGCCTGGGACGCTATGACCGTCAACAATTTAAGTGCTTTCGTGGCCGAAAATTACAGAAAAAGCATTTTCTGGTCTTTCTGAGAAACACCCTTCTCATCATTTATTTCCATCCGAACTCGTTTCACATTAGTCCATGCTATTGCAAATTTCAAGAGTTCCGTACTGAAGCCAGGTCAAGGACATTGTTTTGCAAACAAAACGTCTTGTAAACCAAACAACATATGAAGATGAAATTTGACGTGTAGAAAAGACATCACAGGATTTTTCAGAATCGTCAAATTGAAAAACGGTAATTACGCGAAAAATTAGCGGAAAATCGTCGCCTTATGTATACTATGATCCTGTAAAAAAATTAAAAAAAAAGAAAAAAAAAGAGAGAGAGAGACTGAATATTAAGATTGCGGGTTAGAATGTTTCCAGATGAATGATGTAAATGTTTCGTCAAATTATAATAATTCTGCAACTTTCTTTTATGCAATCTTTTGAATTAAAAGTATATGAATTTTAAAAGTCTTATATATACAGTATGTATGTGTTACCGCTAAAGCTCGGAAACTCGTTAATCTGCAGATTATCTAGCGTGATCCGTTAAAGTTGCTAAAATTGTTCTATTTCTCAAATTACCTAGGTAATCTGCACATTACGTGCACATTATCTAGGTAATCTGCAAATTACCTACTAGGCACTCGGTAAAGTGAAAATAAAATCTTTGCTGAAACAACAGCAACGTTTCTGTACGCTTAAATTAACATAATGTTCTTTATTTTATTTTCGATATCTAAAGAATCAAGTTAACACAATCAAACAATCGACAAATTAGTTGATAGAATCAATCATCAACCAATTAAAAAACACAAAAAATCAAACGATTTAAAATATTAATACAATTAGG